TATCTCAGTGTGGTTTTGATTTGCATCTCCCTGATGATTAGTGAGGTTGAACATTTCTTCATGTGTCTGTTGGCTACTCGGATGTCTTCCTTTGTGAAGTGTCTGTTCCTATCTTTTGCCCATTTTATAATGGGGTTGTTTGTTTTTTCTTTTCAGCACGTTTGAGTTCCTTGTAGATCCAAGATGTTAAGCCTTTGTCAGACCTGGAGTTGGCAAATATTTTTTCCCAGTCTGTAGGCTGTCTCCCTGCTCTCTTGATGGTTTCTTTGGCTTTGCAGAAGCTTGTCAGTCTAATAAGGTCCCACTTGTCTATCTTCTCTCTTATGATCTGTGGGTTTCGGGTTTTGTTCAGGAAATGGTTGCCAGTTCCGATTTCCATGAGGATATGTCCTTCATTTTCTAAGGTTCTTTTGGTTTGAGGTTTTACATTTAGATCTCTGATCCATTTGGAGTTAATTTTTGTGTATGGGGATAGATAGGGGTCCTGTTTCAATCTTCTGCATGTGGTCACCCAGTTTTCCCAGCACCATTTACTGAATAGGTTCTCCTTTCTCCAGTGGTAGGTGGTGGAGGTTTTGTCGAAGATGAGTTGGTTGAGAAATTGAGGTTTTGCTTCTGGAATCTCAATTCTATTCCATTGTCTATATGCCTGTTCCTATACCAATACCAAGCTGTTTTGATGATTGTAGCTTTATAGTTACAAAGTTATAAAGTTTGAAGTCTGGTAATGTGCCAGAGACCATCTCCAGCCGGGTTCAGGGTACCCCAAAGGTGGAGACAGTGTCGGCGATTGGGGGGAAGAAGAGAGAAAGAAAGACTGGACACCAGTCTAGTGCAGAAGCGATGTGTGTTATTGTGAATTACAACAGGTCTTTTATACACAAAGTCAGATGTGGGAGGGGTGTCCCTCACCCACCAGAAACCTTAATCCATGAAAACTTAATCAATGATTGCCTTTAAACACTTTTCATACGATAATCTTAAACTCCCATAGCAAAGGATAACCTAATCCGTGACTGACATATTCTATAAACCTTTTTCATCCT